CACTGCGTTTCCTTGAGAAACAAGACATTGTGGAAACAGACCGGGTTGTGCCCATGCGGGCCTTATATAACGTTGAGTAAACGACAAAGCAGACAGTGATGAAAGCCAGAACATATTAACTAAAAATGATGGTATAACTTGTGTTCTGCGAGCTATTAAAGACCTTGTGTGTTTTTCTTTGTAATCACAGGACCAAGATAAATTCAAGCAGATTGGCAACGCGTTCCAAGTCAAGGGAGAGTTAGCGAATGTAAGGACCTCAGCTCTGCTATCGTTTTGGCTCGTCATGCTTCCTGTACTTGTACCTTGCTGTTTTTACGATTTTCCTTAGTCAAGACGTCATCCTTTGGTTCTGGGCAGTTTGCTGAGTTTGATGACCTCAAAGAAGCCATATGCTCAGCAGTTGCCTTGTCTCAAGTTTGATTTGGCTGCTCTTGTTGAGACTCGACTGTCGTTTGCTTCAGGCAATCGAAAAGAAGGAGAAACTGTCCATTGCCGCGTCCAAGATTGACATCTACAGCCTCAAGGAGAGTCTTGCAGTCTTGCTGTTTCACAACCCGAACCCTTTCAGCACAGTGTCTCAACTTGTGTTTTTGCTGCGGATTGTGGTTTTCCAGTTTGCTCACGGCAGGATGGAAAGTGGATTAAGGAAAAAAAGATGTCGGAAAGCCTTCGGGACACGTCCGAGCCCGGCACTTGGTGTTTTGTTTTCAGCAAGTTGAACCATACTTGCTTGCTGGGTCTTTGTTTGCAACCTGTCAGGAAGTGTTGCTTTATTGCTTTTTCGGATGAGGTTCTCGAAACCCATTTGAGCGCATGGACTATAGAGGCGTCAACAGTTACATGATTTTACCTTCACTTCGAAAACCAAACAACAGAACGTTGAATACAAATAGTTTGTTTCTTCTCTGTTTGCTCCTGGATACCTGGAAACTGTTCTTACTTCTCCCCAGATAGCTGAAAGCTAGTAGAGGTTATTGTTTTTATTGGAAGCAAGTCTTTGTCGCAAAAACAGGGAGCGAGCCTAGCTCATGTCCCATTTTGTCAAAATCGTTTTGAGATACAACGATATTTCTACCAGGGGTCTATGCCGGTGCAATTTTCGCTACCTCCCTACCCTGTCCTTTTAAAGAGGCTTTTTGGGTGTGCACTGGGGTACCTTTTTTTTGTGACAGATTTTTTGGCTTTATCAAAAAGCTATCAAGGGATACCTTCTTGGCAGTAGGAGCAGTAGGAGCAGAAGATCTCTGCAAGTCTTCGGAAAACATGGTGAGCTAGGCACTGAAAGGGTGTTTTGACTCAAGGCCAAGGGAAAGAATTCAGAAGACCTCTGGAATGCCAGCCGTGAAGTTGTTTTTTTTCTCACTTAGATCAGAGTCTCCAAGTCCTCCCCTCAGTAGAGTGCCTTGCTGAAGTGCGGGGGTTAACCAATCATTCAGGTTGGACTGCTATGGATACCTCATTCCATAGAGGCTGGCTTCTTCGTGAGAAACGCGTTCGCAGTGTGGCGATGTTTTTCTGTCTTAAATGGTGCCTCTTGAATCTTCTTGAAGCAGTGTGGCCCATTGATGTTCAACACTGAACCATTGTAGTGCACTGTTGACCCATTGAGTGAGCATGACAGTTTGACCACATGATATTGTATCAGTTTCTCTTTCCCACTGCACATTTATCCTCTCCATTGCGAGACCGACATTTCCTTTCTTCGTCTTTCGGTTCGGCTGGGAAAAGATGAGAGGTCTGCAACCGAAAGACGCGGAGCTGATGCAGAAGCCGTGCGCAGAGCTGCTCACAGACTTTCACCCCGCGGCAACGACCGAAAAAAGGAGTGGCAAAAACTCAAGTGGCGAATGGTTTGATGGATTTGTCAAGCGCAGTTTTGTTGTGCCTTTGTCGAAAGGCGCGAGAGGAAAACACTGGACAATTGAAGGTCAATCTGAGGAAAATTGGTGAAAGATATGTCCCTGTGAAGTTCCATTTGCAAATGCAAGCTATGATGTAGAATCTGTAGAACATTTGATATCATAATCCAAGATTCTAAGAAGTCCAACCTTCGCATTGGATTACTTCAGATGCTGATCATGCTATGGACAGCAGCTCGCACTCATGCAGAAAGTTGAGTTTGGCTCATAAAAGTATAAGACGTAACAAGCATGGCGACAAGACACTTCAATACGACATCGACAAGCGTGATATCAGCAATGTGTATGTGTCAATCCGTGCAGACAAACATGATCATAGGCCAGTTCCACAAAAAGAATGGCGCAGTCAACACATTTTCTTGTTCAAATGCGTGCCGTGTTCGCAGGATCGTGCTTTTATGACTGCCTCCATAAGTCGGAAGCCATGGATTTTGTGGATTTTGCTTTTGATATTCACGAAGCTGCTTCGTGGAGGTGCGTTTGGCTCTATGTTTGGGACAAGGCAAAGTCACGCTGCGCTGCGGAAGCGGACGCTGTGCTGCGCCGAGATGACCGAATGGGATTTTGACCTAAGGAATCTGGAATCAGTACTGCCAGCTGCGCATACAGCATGGGGTCGCCTGTTTGAAGCCCATGCCACGCAAAAGCTTGGCACCAAGTATTCTCCGGTGCTCGAGGCCTTTTCGGTAGACTTCCTCGGTGTAGACTTCCTCGGTGTAGCAGATGGATATGAAGCTTGGGAAGACTTTGCCAAAGACCACATGACGCACATGCACAACAGCACCTGCGCAACACTACAGGCACCACATTTCCTGATTGCAGAAATCGGGCTAACAACCCAAACCTTGGTGAAAAAAATGAAAGACAATGCAACATCCCTCAGATTGATGGAGACGTTCGTCAGCACCATGCGATCCAAGAACTTTAGTGCCGCAAAATGCTTGGTTTATGACGGGGCGGATGCAGAAGACTTCACAAAGACCAACTTGGCAAGGCAATTCTTGGACGAAGGGGGAATCTTGATCAATATTCCGTACCTATCGGCAGACACGGTCCTGGCAAAATTGAATGAAACCACAAAGCTTCGAGAGGAATTGGAGGCATTGCGGGCAGACCTGGAGCACTACCTGGAGCTTTCAGGAGAGGAATTGCAGGCATTGCGGGCAGACCTGAAGCTTTCAGGCCTGACTCTGTGCCACGCTTCATGTTGGAAAACCACCCATTCTGCTCTAGCTTTTGCACACCATGACACAGAACCATGGACATCAGACCAACGTGGGAAATATTGTTCTGTCGTGCTTTTGTTGTGCAATGCAAAATGTACTTCGTTTCCTATAGAATAGGCTTCGGTTTCAAGTGCAGACGCTAGCAAAGCAGTTCACACCTATCGTACCTATATCTATGCACAGTACATCTGGGGATTTAAGCAGTGGTTTGTTTATTGCTGACTGCTGATGTTTTTAAGTCTGAGTAGCTACCGAGACCTTGCACAGCAACGGAAACTTGCCATCTTTGCACCCTGCTAGGCACTACTGCCACACAGACCAAAGCTGTTTGGGTGAGGCAGCTCCAGAAGGACTGACGACAGTTCCACATGAGACGCATGATTGGTATAGCAAAAGCTGCAGACAAGAAATCCACCCCCAAAGCAATCAGATGTTGCCATTTTCATTTCCTGTCATGATAGTTCTTCCCAATATGTTCCTTCAATTGAAATGCTTGAGACTAAAGACTTTGTATAAATTTCTGCCATGCCCTTGATTGTTCCCTTGCTATGCCCTTTGGAAAGTAAATGCGAGTAGCACACGGTTGGAAAGGGTTGAGTTTGAGGCTGTTGGGCTGTTGACCTTGCAGGACGACAGTGGTGGCTTTGAGTTTGCTGGCAATGCTTTCCCAATTGACCCAGTGCCCCAAAACATTGCACTCCTGACACGTATTTGCAAAGAATGTTTTTGATGTTTGGATGGTCGGCCGAACTTGAATTTGGATACGATGTTGTGTATCTCAACTTGAACGTCGTCAGGCATATTTAAAAAATGTGCTGGCCTCAGATGGATTTTCTTTCATCTTGTTTTGAGACAGTTTTGAGAAGAGAAATGACACATCGTCCGCATCTACAACATGTGTTGTGAGTTCATGGTTTGCGTCTGCGTTCATGTCCAATGCTGTGCCTTAGTTGATGTTGAGTAGAAGACACACAAAGTAGTGAGTGATGAAAACAAGTATCTGTTACATTGAAAGGTTGTTTTGCTCTGAGGCCATCAAGAAGGACAAGCCAAACAAAGTCCAATGCGATGCGGATGAGATCGACATTTTTAGCCAACAGCAGGAGCCGTTGTTTGTGCCAAGATGGCACCTTTCAAACCAGTGCCTCAACTTGTCGCACCTTGCTTCTCATGGACTTGCAGGATGGAAAGTGGATTAAGGAAAATGAAGAAGCGCTAGTCAATCGTGGCACGTCCAAGCCCGGCACTTGGTGTTTTGTTTTCATCAAGTTGAACGATAATTATTTGCTGAGTCTTTGTTTGCAACCCGTGATCTTGCTTAGCTTTGAGGACAGACTGTTATGGTTTCTTGATACCATCAACATAGGACGTGCCTTTCTCAGCTTTCTCAACCGTTCTGGAGTTGCATGGTCAGGAAGTGTTGCTTTGTTGCTTGTTGGATGAGGTTCTCGAATCCCATTTGAGCACAATGACTATAGACAGCGTCAACAATTACATGATTTTACCTTCACTTCGAAAACCAAACAGCAGAACGTTGGATACAAATATGTTATTTCTTCTCTGTTTGCTCCTGGATACCTAGAAACTATTCTTACTTCTCCCGTTTTGTTTAACCTCGAGAAAGTTATGTGCAAAAAAAGATCAGAAAGAGCAGAAAGAGATTCTTTGTTTTCTCGAGGGTTGACTTTTCAGGACAGTAAATCACCCAAGAGGACTTGACGTGCAAAGTCTCAGCTCTCAAAATGTTATCTCTGCAAAGTCTTTGAGCTGCTTTCTGCTCACGCTTCGGCTGAAGTGGCTCATTTTCAGAGCAGTCTTAACCGCAAATCACAGCTGCCACAAGAAACCAACAGCGTACCTTTTTCAATGAGCGTTCAATGGTCGTACGATGTTTTTCTGTCGAAACTGTGCTCTCGGCTTGAAATTCATAGGAGACAAGTCAGCATTGAAACATTTGGAGTTTTAACCTAAATTGGAGAATTTGAACACTTTTCTAATCGTGTTCGCCAGAAAATGTTTCTCGTGTTTCTGGTCTCTCGCAACGTTGTGAGACTTTGAAAGGTATACACCGCAAAAGGGGCTCTTCAAGGGTGCAAAGCATTCGGTGCTGGTAGGCGATCCTGTTGTCCTTCGCTCCAGGAGCACCTTCCTCTTTCTTGACTCATCGGAAATCATTTCAAGGGAAACCAACAGAGCGCAGAAGCTTGCTCTTGACACAGCGGGAGTTGATCGTTTTTGATGTTTTATGATGTTTTATGTTTGCAGCACGACCACCAAGGCCGCTTCGCGCGATTCTCAATAGAGTATGGCCTGAACAACGTCACAACGTCTGTTTGAAAAGGTGTCGCAGCTGAGTGTTGTTGATCAGCCGGTGCCACGTCCGGCGGGCTGTCGACTTGGTGGGATCTCGTGTTTCGCTTCCGGTGTCCACCATGGGTTCGGACCCGAAGCAAAGCCTGTCCATGGGGGTTCGGGCCCGGAGTCTTGAGATCTCAAGGATGGTCACTTTGAAAGTCCGGGTGTATAACATAGGGTACAATAATTGATTGAGGATTCTTGACGGATGTTGCTTCATTGGATGCGCAAGACTTGTTGTCATCTTGTCATCAACAAACAGACAGTGGTTTCAGAGTAGATTGCACGATCCCCAAGTTGGGAGGTTTATTTGGACCCCCATCCATCCCCATCCAGCCATCTGAAGATGTTGTTGTTTTTTTTCGCACCGTGCCTTTGCCACCCCCAGGGTTCCCATTTACGGCTCCACCGCGTCCTCGACCCGCCACCGAGGTCGGCGTCAGCGCGCGACGTTTCGACGCGTGACGCTTCGACGCTCTTCGACGCGCTGAAAGGCCGGTTTGACGGCCCGGGACGCGTCGCGGGAAGGACGGCAACGGCCGCAAGAACGCATGACACGCGCGACGGTTTCGTAGACCGTTTCGCGAGTTGGTAGGACATTCGTGGACATTCCAAGACCTTCGAAGCGGAAGGTGATCACCCAAACGTGATCGACAGCTGGGACTGGCATAGGTTTCCCTACATGGGCAAGGTGTTGCAGGACCTGGAGTTTGTGACCTAGAATTGGGTCTTTTGTTTGTGACCTGTTCTTAGACTATGTGATTGGCCGAACATGCTGGGATCTCCAGGTACGGTCACGAACCGAAGGTCCGTGGTGAGGGAATCGCGCACGAACGACTGCAAGGCATTTCCAGTTTGTAGGCTAGCGGCCAGCGGTAGGCTGGGCTGAAGTTAGTTTTTGCGAACGAAGTGAGTTATTCAGGGGTGGGGGTTGCTAGCAGCTGTTGATGTGCGTTGAGTTGGTACTTTTCTTTTCGAAATGCAAGCAGCCTCATTTAATTTGGGCAGCTAAGGTAAATAAATTTTGTATGATTTAGTATATGATTTGGTTGATTTTGATGAAGATGAAGAGTGCAATTGCTGCGGTGAAGTCGCCGATGGAGGGTTAAGCTGCAATCACTCCAGGACATTTTCTTTCACCAGGGTAGAAGGCTTCTTACACAGCCACAAAGGAGACCCAAATGGCCAGGAAGCATGACAGGCAAGGTCCTTGCATATGGGCTTTGGTGGCAGTGTTTGTGATGAAGAACACTTAGCAAATTTCAAGCACAGCGACTTGCATACATTGGTTCTACTGGCTTCATTCCTTCCTTCATTCGGTTCCAAGATGTTTCAAGTTTCATGCATGTTTGTTGCGAGTGCCAAGTGTTTGTAGAAGGGCACTCAGTTGCTATTAGTTGTCTAATGTTGTCTATAGGATTCTGTAAGGTGAGTTCCGACGATGTTCCATAGCGAACATGGTCGTGTTGGTTTTGGTTTGAGCTAGAATATGGATCTCCAATGGTTTTGGTGCATGCTGAATATATAAACCGCTGACGGATCCACCGCGCAGGAGGCGTGGAGTCAGCCCCCGCCTCTCCGACCTCCTCCCGTGCGGGCGCTCAGTGGTTTCTCGGTGAAGATGTTGAGTTATATATAGGCGTACTAATGATGCTCAACTTCGGCACGCCCATTTGTTATATAGATATATATAGATCATGTTTGTTTGAATTACAGTCCTATAATTCTTTTCCACTAACTTGGAAAACACGAGCCACAAGTGCACATATATACTATATGGCTAGTATATACAGTAGACGAGAACCTGCCAACAGGTTCTCGTTCACGATACTCGACCGACCTGTCGAGGCGACCGGGCCTCGAGGCGCCGGGCCCCACAAAGAGAGATACCTGGAACCTGAGCTCGACCTCTATTGTGGACCACCAACCACCCAAAATATGGTTTACTCCTATCAAAACAGAGGTCACATGGGTTCCAGGTATATATATATATATATCCTAGCGCTTCCTGTTTGGGTGTCCTGTTTGGTGACCTATAAGCAGTGAAGTGTTGTCCGGCCAGGTAACCCCGAACGGAAGCAGCTGGTATAACTATACACCACTTGGTGCTTATACTTATTATATGGTAGTACTACTTATGATATCTCTTTAGGTTCTCCGTCCTGTGGCAAGCCTTGACACTATATAGAGGTTCTTCACATAAACAACTTAGACCATGATTGCTGATGCTCGGGAAAACCCGGTTTTTGATGGCTTCTGCTCTAGATTGTCGACCCCTTAGCGGGTGTGTGCGGCGAGAGAACCGCTTCACTAAGCTCTGCCAGGCAGCGGTGCCTTCCGCAGGCAGAGCTTGGGGGGGGCAAAGGCCATCGGGATGGTCCGTTGGAGCCTCTATTCAGAGTTCTGTGTGTGTGTGTATTTTTTTTTTAATACTGTATGTTCTTGGGGAATGGGTATATGCAATATATAACTATATATGTTGGATCATATAAATAGTATGGGCTGAATTGTTGTGTGTGTGACTTGTCCAGGGCAAGATTGTTGCTGTTGGGTTGACATCAACACAAATAGTCTATATGACACACGATAGATCACAAACGCCATAACCCGGACCCTCCAGTTCGTACTCTAGAATGACATGACATGACCCAAACCAACTAACCGGTAGATTTACAACCATTCTCTAAGGTATCGATCTCGGTCAACTCCAGGAAGTTGTCAGCTCCGGGTGGGACGCTGTTTGGGGCACGAAAACAGCGTACTCAGCGGACTGACCGTCATCCGTTCTTTGGAGCTGCGAACAACGCATGGTGTCTTAGAGCTTCAACACCAGGTAGCCTCCTACGAGGTGTCTTGTGTCTTTATAGGACCCTACAGGGGTACCTATAGGATAGTCTATAGGGTTCTTCAACCTGGAATTAGAGCTTCAACACCAGGGGTCTGACCGAGACTGTGCAGTTGAGACGACGGGCGCAGTTGAGACGACTGGGAGACGCCCAACGAATGGTGGTGTTTTTGGCGTTAAGCTTCTTGCTCGGGGTCCAACTCAAAGGCCCCCCAGCTACAATACTCCCTAGGGCTCCAACTACCTCCTGAGAAGATGGTTGGGGTGGGTTTTGGGATATGGTTGGAGCCCTAGGGACTATATGCTGAGTTGGACCTAAATATGACAAAATCATACAGAATCGATTTTGATGGCTCGACCCCTCCTGGTCCCTTGCAGACGGTCACACGGGCTTTTGGTGAGCCATCTCCCATCCCATGATAGGTTCCTTAAAAAATAAGATAAACACACCTACTTTTTTCTGCATCACAAATATGAGTGATGGATCAAATCTGAATAATGTTAAGCGAAGGACCATTACAGGTCCATCCAAAAATGATCCTGTTTGGTCCATTGTGGAACAGGTCATCTTGGGATCCACCGATCCGTTGCACCGATCCGCAGGCCTCGGCAGGCTCTTGCACGACGCTGGGCGGAACGGCGCTGCCTTACGAGAGATCGGATAGCCGCCTTGGGTCTGAACGAAGTGAACTGTAACAGTCAGCAAGTATCACATATGATCACTAGTGGCTGAACAAGGCCTGGTACCGAACCAAAGCGAAAAAATCCGCTGGGCCCTGGTATTAGGTGGGGCGTTATTTTTGTGTCGCCAGTGTGTTTTGTGCAGCAGCCTGGACACCACTGGGGTACTAAGATAGGAATCTGGACAAAAAAGATTGGAATCCGGACAAAAAGGGTGTAAGGGTTGCTGATAGTTGTAGGTTACCACTATATATATTAGTTATCACAACATGTAGAGAGTTCACAACAAGTTTCGATCAAACCGCGGATCCATAGGGCCTTTGTAGGGTGCTGTCCCATTCTCGCACAGTTTTCCGTGGAAGAACGTTTTCCCGAGATTTCGAAGCTGAGAGGACCATGCCACCCCAAGTTGCCGGCGCTATGAAAAAAGCTCCTCCTACTCAGAGGCCCAACGCTGCAATTCTCAGCGGCCCATTCTGCTGGAAACCGCGCAGCTGGAAACCGCGCTCTTTCGGCGTCAACGGCCGTGGGCGGAGCGAAAGGGAGCGGACGAGTACCGCTCTGAGAGCGGAAACGAAGATCCGCCGCTGCAGGTTGGTCACATGAGGAATGGGGGAAGATGAATTCCCCGAACATGAGGATTTTGGAACGGGTGAGTGAGCCTGGGAGCTGATGAGGTAGAAACCATGTCCCAATGGATGAGGCTTTGGTTTGCTTGAAAAACACATTGCCGAGGCAGAGCATGGCGATTCAGCCAGGAGACAGGTTGCGACCGCCTTTACGAGATCCAGACCCCATGGCAACAGGCAGAGCATTGTTGTGCTTGCGGATTGGCACAGATGTTGATTTGGAGGAGAATAGCCAGAAGCTGGGCGATTGTGCTGCCTGATATTGCACGACGCATTTCAGATTGAATGTGGGCGGGCTGAACGAAGTAGTGGCCTTCATCAAGCAGGACAGGGAGTTGTCCTTGCCGGCCGTTACAGCCAGTTGCCAGTGCTGATTAAGAGTATAGTGCAGAATGTGTGGGTTCAACGAGGTGATCGGAGAGTTTGGCCGCAGATTGCAGACTGACGGAGTGGTACCCTTTGTGCCTAGAAGCCATAAATCAATTGCCCGCCATGCCATTCATGTGTTTGCGGGTGCCTATGGTATGCTATGGTTTCAGAGAGCTTTTCATGTCGGTCACTTTTTTGGGCGCTTCCTTGAGCTGATGATTGGCATACGTGCTTGAAATTGGAGCAGAGTACCCGGATGCGCCGCCTTTTCGTGCCACCGAGATAGGTTTTAGACGATGATTTGGCACCCCAGATCAGTGGAGGACAATGAATTCACTACGTTCGAGGAATACACTCTGACTCACTAACATGGAAGTGGATGGCATGGTCCCTTGGAAGACGACTTTCCTCTAGAAACAGGTGGCGCCATCCACTTCCCAGTGAGTCCCAGTGTATTTGGAAGGACTTGAGACCTGCCAGGCGGCCCGGCGTATGCCAGGCCCTTGGTGAGGCCGTAACGCTTTGTCGGACACCATGGACTCGTTCGGCGGCACGGAAGTCCCACTCACACGTCCGCATAGAAAGTGCCAGAATCAAAGGGCACAAGATAGGTATCAGATCAACCAAAAATGGGAGATTTGCCCATGTTCATGTTTGGTTCCTTTTCCAGGTTTCTAGATGTCATGCTTTTTGATGTGTCTTCCTTTCCGCTGGGTTTTTTCAATCCAATGACCTGGGGTGGTTATTGCACGTTGTGGGACCAAACCATTTGTGGGAACCACATCGCCAAGGCCACAGATAGATGAATGGAGCTCAATGCAATCACCATGTTCCGGTCCCCACCAGCGTGTGGATCCGCGCATCATCGCATCGTTCGGCGCATCTACTCGATGGGACTTGGGCGTGGTCCCGTGGTACACTCCATTGAGCAGCTGCAGGGAAACAAGCAGAGTAAGAGAAAACACCCTGCCCAGGATCAACAACTGGCAAAGGTCGGAGGCAATAGCTATATGAAATAGCTATGTTCCACACAGATCTTGGAAGGCTGGTGTGTTTGACAGTCCGTTTGAACAATGAGTGGCGCCAGTGTGTTTCTTGGGGATGTTGCCTGGGACTTTTGACCTCCGGATGGTTGGAGAAAGAAGGCTTTGTTCCTTTGCTTCGCATATCTTGGGAACTCTTGTTGTCAGGTCCGATGGAAAAGCACCCGACCACCAGGACCCTGACAGGTGCTGAAGGACCACCAGGACCGATGAACAGATCGCATGGAATCGCATGGAATTGGAAACCACCCTGGTTGGTAGAGGAATATAGCATCAATGGCCTTCCCAAAGACAATTGTTCATTTCCACGTGAGTGAGTTGGAGGGTAATCAATCATCCAAGCTTCAGAACCATTCACGGGTCGCTGTGGCTTTTCCCTGACGGAGTCGGCTTTTCGCGTCGACATGGGCCAAGGACTGGCGTCCCGTGGTCGACACAGCCAAGGCACGTGTATGAACAAAAGCATTTGCCACCAGGATTTGGCACCAGGCAGAATGTTTCAATGATCTTTATTTGAAGGATTCCACGAGGTTTCCAGGGGCCCCTGGCCCCATCCAGTGCCCTTCAAGCCAAAATGAATACAGAACATGGGCTCAAACCTGTGCCTTGTGTGTTTCGCTTAAGTCTTACTTGCTGAGCATGTCCGGCTCGAACATATGGAGTCTCCATGCCTTGCGGACGAAGTCCTCCACCCTGCCGCTGTAGATAGGATCTTTTAAGGAAAGGTATATGGGATGGCCCCACCATGGACTAAGAGACCATGAGAGAGTGAGGGAGGAATTTGTTCTTTGCTGATATTATTGGCTAATGCAGCATGCGCCATACTAAGCCAATTTGAAGGACATTTGACCAGCGACGATGACTAGTAGTGCAAATGCTCATGCAAAAAACAAAACAAAACAACACACACACACACATACACTTCCAACGACGGTCTGCCCCAAATCCCTGTGTCGTTTTGGTTTGGACGTCAGTTCGTTTTGGTTTGGTCAGGGACGTCAGTGGGCTCCATGGTTCACCCTCCGGGCGGGAGCCATCCTTTGCCACAACAACTCGTCGAACGAAAGGGTCTACCATTCCGACTGGACTCGGCTGCCGAGTCAGAGAGATGTGCATGACTTGTTGCCTTACTTGTTGCCGACTTCGGCTGCCCTTATTTGTTGTGCACACAGCAAGAAGCAAAGACCTGATGCATTGGAAGGATCCATGTTGGTGGTCAACTGCTTCCAGGATGCGCCATGCCATCCACATTTGATGAGAGCAGTCCGCTTCCGACACATGCTTTTGATAATAAGTTTCCGGTTCGATCACCCACAAGACCCACAGACCCACCAGACCCACAGAGCAAGTCACTTCAAATCAGGATCAGCAATCCGGATCAAGCCTTCGAAAGCGATTGACCCACACCTCGCGTGGACACCTCCCCGTGCTTTTCCATGCGTGGACGCGTCCGCAGACACTCCGCGCTATATACTGTATATATATATATATTAATTCCTACATTGACCCTGTTTCAACCACCGCACTGTGGGGGGGTTTGAGATCAGTTCCAAGAAGGATCAAAAAGGTGGCTTCTGGAAGTACAAGCTATGCCACAAGCTATAACACCGTTTCACCCACCCCATGGTCTCATTGGTAAACTTGACATTCGTCCCTGCGCTCCAGTCTCCACCGTCTCCACGCTGCGTTTCTTCGACGCGCCTGAGCCCAAGGACGAGAACGCACCGATGGGGTAGTTCTTACGGTAGAAATGACCAGGAAATATATTCCATTCGTATCATATTCATATACGCATTATTCATATGTATCATTATGTTCATATGCATACCTATCATATGTCATATATATATATATAGATATGTTTTTTTTTTCCCAACAGGGGTCCTTTTGTGGCCTAAACAGCAATTTGTATAGCCCTCTTGTGCTTCAGAGGGCTGCAGCCTGCAGCTCAGCTCCAACGGCTTCAGGTCATCTCCACGGCTCGAAGCAACGCCGGCACCACAGGAGCGTGATTGGACGGTGAAGATCGAGGCTTGGTCTTTGCAGCTTGGCGCGGAGGGGTTCCGAGGTGAGTCGAGCTAATGTAGGATTTTGATTAATAACCACCCATATTGAAGATGTTTTTCAATCATTTTCAATCAACATATTGCAATATGGGAGTCTTAATCAAGATACAACAAGGGCAAGATCCATCAAGATCCTACACTCTGTGGAGTGGTTCAGGCGGTGAACATGGCCTGTTCAGTGTTGATCCTATGCTCCTGGTCTCGCTGATCAACTCCGCTCCTATATGACTACGAGTTGGATTGGTTGGCAGGCCATTCAGAATGGAGGTAGGAGTTAGAGCCAGTACTCCGGCAGTGGATGGATTGCCATCATCAGCACTACGGAGTTGGACTGCAGTGTTTCTGAGGGTTGCCCTGCCTCCATTTTTGCCCCTGTAGCCGCTGCCGCTGAGGCCCAGCGTGCGAGGGAAGGGGCCGCCACTGCCGCCGAACGGCGCCCAAGTGGCGCAGATCTTCCAACGGCATTGGGAGCGACTTGGATTTTGAGAAGTGGCCACACTTGGCCAGCAAAAGTGGAGAAACACAGAGAAACCTCACAGTGCGACCTGGACCGACTTCAAGTACTCTAAGAGCATGGGAGATGGCCCTAGTAAAGACAGGTATACTTGTACCCATTTGCCGAGGTCCTTTGAGGCTCCAGGTCTATCGGAAACAGGTCACCCGACCCGACGCCGAGGCAGATCCGCGCCGCCCGACCGACGGAGCGCTGTGCCACCGCGCCGCGCTCGCCGATGGAGAAGGGCAGCGTGGGCCGCTGGGTGCCAAAAGGCGAGCGAAGATGGAGGGCAAAACGGTTTTTGAGAAAGGCAAGAAACTACGAACGGAGCGATCGGACGCAACGAACGGGGCGAAACTGGCCTTACTAGTAAGAAGCTTGGAGGCCATTGCTAGTAACGAGGAGCTACTAGTAGCTCCTGGCATTACTAACAAGAGAGATGGTTTGCTTTGGGCCCGACTTCAAGTACCGAAATTAGGACATGACCCGAACCCAAAAACAGATCTGTACCCATGTTCAAAGGTACGGACGTACTGAGACTGCAGGTAGTGTTGAGGAATGATTTCTGCCAATGACGTTGGCAGCTTGGGACAATCTCTTAGAGGTTGATGACACCTAGGCGGCCCATCCCAAGTGCTCTCATGTGCTCCCCAAATAGAAAACTATCCAAATTCCAGCACATGATGTGATGTTCTATGTGTTTTTCATTGGTGCCAATATTTACCTTCTTTTGTCCGGTCCTTTTGGGTGTGTCAACCTTTGGAATGACAAATGTGTTCCTCCGATCTTGTTCCTCCAGCCAAGGTCAGCCAAAGATCAGGCCCAAGGTATCGCCAAAGCGCGAGCGACGTCCGGACGCCGAGTTCGAGGAGTTCTCAACGGAATTCGACGTCCGATGTCCAACGGGTATTTTGTCAGGTGACCCACCAGCATGGAGAAAAACGCAGCCGGCTATGTTTTGTTGTTTTGCGAACACTTGGACTCGACCTCACTTTGAAATAGCATGAAAATGCATGAAATAACATCAAAAGGGATGTGAATTCATCAGCCAGAAAGTCAATCCCGTGGCCTAGTGAGTGGCCTATACACATTGGAATCACATACTTCCTCATGCGGATCCTTTTGTCCTCTCTTCAGTTGACTCAGGTGACCCACCCTCCTCACTATCTCCCCACTATCCCCCCCCCCACAAGAAAATGAAACACCGTTCCTCCAAACGTCCGGTGTCCCTCGCGGCGTTGACCGAGGTTTGCCGGAGTTGACCTTCTTCGCACCTCGGCCTTGGCTCGTGGGTTTGGTCCAGGCCCGGTTTGGCCCAGTTTGGCACGGTGTCATGAGCACGGTTTCGAGAATTTTTTCAAGCTGAAATAGGCACGTGGATTCAAAACAAGTGATTCATGTTTCCTCAGACTCAAGCTGAAATAGAAATCCTGACAACTTGAACCTGAAGCATTCATGTTTCTAATTTGCCAGGTTGTCAGATTGCTGGGGCGCAACATGGCCTAAGTCAGTGTGATTCTTTTGAGGGTCACTGTTCCGGGGATCCCTCTTAGTGGATTTCCAGGGGTTGCGTGGAGTAGAAAGTGGCCCGAAAGAGAATGCGCCCCAGAAATCCATTTTCGTTCCTTCTCAGGTACGGTTAGGTGAGGACGGAGACACTCTTAACGCAGACTTTTGACTTTTGATTAATAACCCCCATATGAAGAGGTCCCAGGTGCTCGTAGCTTCGTAGTTGGTAGTGTACATGTCGTACTTTCTGTTCTTCGGTTCTGGTCTCACATTCCAGCCCAAGCCCACCCGTACCCCCCTGAATACCAGGGAAGGGAGGGTGTGGGCGCCCGTTCAGACGGTCCCAAGTTCGTGCATTCAAATGGAGGGTTATTAGTCAAGAGTCTACATTGTGTAGGTGCCAGGAGGGCCTACCTGACCTGAGAAGGTACTTACTTGGATCCCGTTTGGGGCATAGAACATGCTGCATGACTCACTCGGAGCGACGGTGGAAAAACCGCCGATGCACGGCACATTTGTCCCGAGGAAAAGCCACCGGAGCGCGAGGAGCTTCCGGGTGCTTCTGGGAGACTCCGAAGTTTTGCTTCGAAGCGCTGCACCAAGTTGAAGTGGTCAAGCAAGGCACATAGGGATGGGTCAAAACCTGGAGGAACCAGTTTTTCTCTGGGAATTAGTTTTTTGCCTTTGCTCCTGCTTCTGCTTTTGCCTTGTGCTTTCGCTTTTGCTTCTGCAATCGCTCTTGCTTCTGCCTTTGCTTTCGCTTCTGCAACGGCAAATAGGCAGCTTGAAACGCTGCACCTTTGCTGCAAGTGTCCAGCTTCGTTTACTGCGCCAGCAGCGCAGTAAAGAGCCTTTCCACTGCTGCAAGTGGCCCCATTCCAACGTAGCACACCTTCTATGAGCCGCCAAGAGTCAAGAATTTAAGTAGGTGCCAACGTAGCAGACCTTCTTTTGCAGGCCACCGGGACTCAAATTAGAAGACCCAGGAGCCATGCCAACGCAGACCTTTAGTGAGCCACCCAAGAGTACACTTTTGAGGAACAAGCGCAAGTCTAAGGTAGCAGACCCTTTAGTGGGCGACTCGAAGGTAAACATTTAGAGGAGGGTGGAGGGACCCACCCGAGGGCAGACTTCAGAGAAGGAAGGGGTCATTCCAACGTACTGTAGCAGACCTTTTGTCAAGTCTCCATTCCCATGTAGCAGACCTTGTGTGAGGCACCCAAGGATAAAGTTTAGGGCCACCCCAGGGCAAAATTTAGAGGAGGCAGGGGCCATTCCAAGGTAGCAGACTTTTTCTGAGCTACTTGAGGTGGAAGAAGGCAGTCCAAAGCAGCATAGCTTTGGTAAGCCAGCCGAAGATAGAGTTTAGAGGAGTCAGCGTCCACGCCAGGGTAGCAGACCTTTTATGAGCCACTCCAGGGTGAATTTTAGAGGAGGAAGGACATTCCAATGTAGCAAACCTGTTGTGAACCATCCGAATGGAACATTTAGGGGAGGAAGATGCCATGCCAACGTAGCAGCCAGCAGGGGCAACATTTAGAGGAGGAAGGTGCGTTCCAACGTAGCAGACCTGTTGTGAGCTACCCGACTAACTACTGTACTCGTAGCTCCCTCTCAAGCGATTGCAGAAGGTGGACGGGTGGAACCTTGGTCAGTTGCTTTTCGGAATGAGCAGGGCAGGACACAGCACCCTCTCGCCCTCCCGCTGTGTTTCGACCTCCAAGTGGGGGACGCATCACCAGAAACACCCATTCTTGGATCGGAGGGTGGATCGGTTCATCGTTCTGGCACTGCGAGCGGTTGATCGCCCAAGCAACCAAGCAACTCATGTCCAAAGTGGAGAACCTCTCAACAGAAAGGGAAGCGGCGCAGCACAAGTACAAAACAACCCAACTGCAGAGGTCGAGACTCTCATCCAATTTCAATGGTTTGAGAAACTGTTTCCCTGTAGCTATCACTGGTTGTCGTATCACGAGCAGCATCTAATTTGAGCGAAGAAATACTATGAGTTTGGATCAGGTCTTATATTCTCACCAAATCCGGCCTTGGTCATCAACATGGCAACCACCATAGAGGTAGACAGAATCTTCTATAGACATTTTTACAGTACCCCAGCCCCCGGTTCAAAGAACAGGTCACTTCGCCTGTCTTGGCGCTGGATCTCAGACTTCCTGTCGCCTCAGGAGACGGACTTCCCTCGCCCCAGCGAGACCTTCGCGCGGCGCGGGGACTCGGCGGAGCGGCGACATGCGAAACGGGACTCCGCGGAGCTTGGCTCCCGCGGAAGCGGCGACATTGCGGAACCCATGAAACATCACATCACAAAATTTTGGGTTGAACATGTTCAATGATGTTGGCCATGAATATTCGTCGGAACAGGATATACATATTTCATATTTGGATCTATATGAGTCTATCAGGTTCTTTGGATCAATGGTGATTCACAGACTTGGCTTTCAAGTAGCGATTTGCAAGGGCCAAGAGAGCTGAGCCCGCGAAAGCGGTGTTTTGGAAACATATCTTCAACGCGAACCGACGAACCACGAAGGTCGGCAACAAAATTGGATTTGTTTGCCTGAGATCACTGAAGCCTGCTGGAATTCAGGAGCCAAAAAGCATCCAGAGAACCAAGTCTGTGTGACTAGGAAGCACACAGCACACAGCCCCAGGATGGAGGCTTTGGCCACATAGACTACATAGACGTGGAGTGTTGATACTGAACAGGGTCAACAGAGCCACCTACCTGAGATCAGGAAAAAAGAGGAGGCTTTCACCGACCTGACAAAGGTTTGGGTTCCGGGTTCTCAAGTTGCCTCACCCTAAACCATGCACTGAGACGCTTCGGCCGATCGGGCTTCCGGTGGATTTTCCCACATCAACTGCATCATCCATCAGCTTCCCGTCAACGGGCTCCAGTCGTACCTTCTTAGTCACGGTGTTAGTTTTGGGGTGGGTGATCAAGATCTTCCCCGCTTCTGTCCCGGGTCCTGGACAGACTTCGTCCAAGTTTGCCTTCCACCGGACGGACGAACAGGCTGCTGAGCAACGAGGAGACCGCGAACTCTTCGCCGAGGAGTGAAGGCGTGTGCACATGGAGTGAAGGGATGGCTATTCTTTGACCTATAAATGACATGAAACCACCTGTTTGTAGTGGAAAATGGCCTTCCACGGGGCCATTCTCCACTTCCATGTGAGTTTTCGGGGCTGCCAGACCCTCCAACAGATCCTGTTTTCAGATCAGCTCTTGGACGGAGCTGGGTGACCTTATGGTTCATGTCCGGGGGACGCGTCACCCAGTCGTAGTTGTGGTTGCGAAGTCGAGCGAAGTCTGGAGACTGATAGGTAGTTTGGACTAGCTTGGACTTAGACTTAATTGGTTTTTTCTTAGGTCGAACGTACTAAGCCTGAGCCAAGTTCAAAACAACTCACAAACTTTGCTTGAGGGTGCCCACAGGAAGAAGCGCTCCAAGATCCTTTGTTAGACAAGTCAAAATCAGGTTCAATTCCTAGAGTGGACCAAAATATCACATACAGAGTTTCATGTTGCGACGCCGGAGCAGCATGTCCAATCGTGTTTTTCTTGAGAAGCAACTAGATATGGTCAAAAACATATTCAATCCATATGTTATTGGCTGTTCTACATTAGTTTGGAAGAAAGACATAGAATTGAAAGACTCTTCGTTTTCAACGTATTTTACCATCGGTGTCACCTCATGATCCAAGGGGTTCATGGTGCTTGTGCAGACGAGGGAATTTGGGAGGACGTGGGGTGACGTGGTCCCAATTGGTCGACCAGAACATCATTTTTGTCAACGATCGACTCGTTTTTGTTGCTGGAACTTTGTAACGAGTCCTTTTACTTCAGTTGAACGCGGGAGATTCGTCAGACTTTTGTTTGACAGATTGCCCCTTTTTTCTTCAGTCTTAAAGGTTGAAGGGAGTATCTATTAGAATTGTTCTGACAGATTTTCCTGGCACTTTAGTCTTACTGTAAAGGACTTACAGTATCATTTGTGAGAATATGTGTTTGATTCTGACAAGTCGTCTCCTTGTGAGACAATATACTAGAGTGACAATATATGGCAGTCGATCGAAAGGTCGACATAAGGCCTATGCCACTGAGAGCCTCTTCAAGTTGTCCGCGAAAGTTTTTTCTCGAGTTCGCGAAAGTTTTTTTTTTGGAGAAAGATCAGATTTGCGAAAGAGTCTATTATACTATAAATTTAATACATGAAGAGGCGATACCATCATCAGTGATTTGCAACAGTGCTGTGTGATCTACAACAACAACAGCAACTACTACTGCTACTACTACTCCTCCTCCTACTCCTACTCCTACTCCTGCTGCTGCTGCTGCTGCTGTTCCTGCTACTGCCACTACCACTACCGCTTCTTACTACTCCTCCTCATGCTGCTGCCACTGGTTGTTACGCTGTGCGCCTTGAAACCCACCAATGACGCGACATTTTTTGGCGAAAGATTCGCGAAAGTTCCGCGAAAGCATAGGCGGCGAATGTGAAGGTTTGTTTTGTGGACCCCTGCCCAAGCCAAGCAGCGACAGACCTAGCAAGACATGAGCGCAACCGTTGATAGCTCTTCCAGCTGATCCGCCCCCAGTTCTGCTGATTCATCCAATGGTGGTGATTGAGAGTTCTCGCCAATCTGCCTTGTAACACCTCAACCTCGTCTGCAGTTCCAAAATGGTGCTTGATGGAAGTGCTTAGGCTGCTATGTAGAAACACTAAACCAAGATGATTTCCAGAGGATATACCCCCCGCGAAAGTTAAACATGGAGTTCGCGAAAGATTCGCGGATGTCTTTTTTAGCGAAGAATGGCCTTCCAGCAAGAAGGAATTTTGATCAACCACCATATAGTCAGAATTGTTTTCTGACAATTTACGTGATAAAGTTATTGTTTATCACTAGCGTATAGGTAAAATCAACATGCACAAATTGTGTGGATGTTCTACATGAAACAAGTGGTTTCTGATAAATTAGCTGGGACTCAGAGGCCAGACTTAAGTTTGGACTGACTAAGTCCATCCCCTAAGTCTAAGTCGGACCTAACCACTTACTAAGCTCAAGAAAGCAAGCTAAGTCCACTCTAAGTCGGGGTGGCTAGACTTAATGGCTAAAAGGCTAAAAGTATGTTATAAGTCGAACTGAACGAACCGCTCAATAAGTCCCATGTTGCTCAACAAGTCCAAGTCCCATGTTGCTCAAGTCCCATGTTGCTCAGCAAGTCCCATGTTGCTCAGCAAGTCCCATGTTGCTCAACAAGTCCCATGTTGCTCAACAAGTCCCATGGTGCTAAGCAAGTCCCATGTTGCTCAGCAAGTCCCATGTTGCTCAACAAGTCCCATGTTGCTCAACAAGTCCCATGTTGCTCAGCAAGTCCCATGTTGCTCAGCAAGTTCCATGTTGCTAAACAAGTCCCATGTTGCTCAACAAGTCCCATGGTGCTAAACAAGTCCCATGTTGCTCAGCAAGTCCCATGTTGCTCAACAAGTCCCATGTTGCTCAGCAAGTCCCATGTTGCTCAGCAAGTCCCATGTTGCTAAACAAGTCCCATGTTGCTCAGCAAGCCCCATGTTGCTAAACAAGTCCCATGTTGCTCAGCAAGTCCCATGTTGCTCAACAAGCCCCATGTTGCTCAGCAAGTCCCATGTTGCTCAACAAGTCCCATGTTGCTAAACAAGTCTCATGTTGCTCAACAAGTCCCATGTTGCTCAGCAAGTCCCATGTTGCTCAGCAAGTCCCATGTTGCTGAACAAGTCCCATGTTGCTCAGCAAGTCCCATGTTGCTCAGCAAGTCCCATGTTGCTCAGCAAGTCCCATGTTGCTCAACAAGTCCCATGTTGCTCAGCAAGTCCCATGTTGCTAAACAAGTCCCATGTTGCTCAGCAATTCCTATGTTGCTCAACAAGTCCCATGTTGCTCAGCAAGTCCCATGTTGCTCAACAAGCCCCATGTTGCTCAGCAAGTCCCATGTTGCTCAACAAGTCCCATGTTGCTCAACAAGTCCCATGTTGCTCAACAAGTCCCATGTTGCTCAGCAAGTCCCATGTTGCTCAACAAGTCCCATGTTGCTGAACAAGTCCCATGTTGCTCAGCAAGCCCCATGTTGCTCAGCAAGTCCCATGTTGCTCAACAAGTCCCATGTTGCTCAGCAAGTCCCATGTTGCTCAGCAAGTCCCATGTTGCTCAGCAGGCCCCATGTTGCTCAGCAGGCCCCATGTTGCTCACCAAGTCCCATGTTGCTCAACAAAGTCCCATGTTGCTCAGCAAGTCCCATGTTGCTCAGCAAGTCCCATGTTGCTCAACAAGTCCCATGTTGCTGAACAAGTCCCATGTTGCTCAGCAAGTCCCATGTTGCTCAACAAAGTCCCATGTTGCTCAGCAAGTCCCATGTTGCTCAGCAAGTCCCATGTTGTTCAGCAAGTCCCATGTTGCTGAACAAGTCCCATGTTGCTCAGCAAGTCCCATGTTGCTCAACAAGTCCCATGTTGCTCAACAAGTCCCATGTTGCTCAACAAGTCCCATGTTGCTCAACAAGTCCCATGTTGCTCAGCAAGTCCCATGTTGCTCAACAAGTCCCATGTTGCTTAACAAGTCCCATGTTGCTCAACCATGTGCCTTTTCATCACTTGGCCCGTCAATCCCCAATGACTCCTTTTGCTGGGCCGCTTCCCGACCGCCACCGACCCATCGCCCGACCCTCGAGGCTTGGAGGCGCCGGTGTCCGTGCAGCGTGCCATCTCGCGCACGCGCACGCTGACGCTGTCGCGGGCCATCTCGGTGCCTTGGGCGACGAGGTGTTCGCGGCACCCTCGCGGGTGTGGGTGCAGACCAGGTCTATCGGTAGAAGATGAAAGGTGTCCGGCACCCCTATACGTACAGAGTATTATTGATAAATATTTGTGAATTTTCATTCCACAGACATTTGGTAGTGCCTTGCAATATTCCCAACCTTTCTTTCTGGTGGTTGCTGCAGTGTGGGGAAACAAGGTTTTGGAGTCATAATTAGTCATAGCTTGCAAACTCCTGCGGTAAAGAACTGCAGATGTGTGTTGTTTTTTTGGTGAGTTTGGAAAGGACGGCATTTTGTGTTGTTTGCCGGTCTTTTCAGTGTGCATGTGTCATCAACTCAGTTTCGGCGGTTACTTGGGCGTTTCGGGAAGTCATCGGTGATGTGGATGGCAGCTCTTTGTAATAGGATCTTCATGGTCGAAGCTCGCTTTGATATGCCATCTTGCAAGGTTTGGACTGACGGGTGACGGAGCTAGGGTGAAGAACATGTGTGCTAGGGTGGAGAAGTTTTTTGGCCAACCTTTTGAGGATGTTTGGATGATTTATAGGTGATCATGGAAGCATTCTGCTTGGTCAAACTTGCGATGCCAACCCTCCACTTGTTAACACGATGCCAAGCCATCCCAGGTGGTGCGGTGATTGTGTCAATTGTCAATATAGTACAGTATATTATAAATAGACCTTCTCGTTGCATTGTGTGTGTGGCCTTGCTTTCTGTTATGAACTGTAATTATATATAGTCCATCATGATCAATCTAATGTATTTATCAGTTGATCGATTTATCTATCCACTTACAAGCAAGGGCCAAGACATCCTATGACGAGTTGCTGTGTGTAGCAATAGGGAACCTTGAAGAGCGATACCATGGCAGAAGAATGATTAGCATGTTATGACCTCCACGAATATGTTTCTATACCAGACGCATGCAAAGGGTGCCCAATACTTTACTGTTAAAAAATAGACAAGATGGAGCCCACGAACCCGAATGCAAACACATACGTCAAACCA